CCCATGATGCGAAAAGGGGGGGGGGGAGAGCGAGGAGAGGAGAATGAGAGAGAGAGAGAGAGATATCGCGGATATAATGGCACAAAGCCTCTTTGAATCTCTGAGACGCGCCGACCCGCACACGGGACTTCGCTATCGACGATCTGCTGCATCGTATGCAAATCTTCCTCCTTATAAATACATCAGCCTCCGCGGATCTTAGGTGCCCCTCTGACCCGCCGCTGCGCCTTCCTGTCTCTGTCGTTCTCTTTTGGTCGCGTCTATTCACCGTTTCTAAATGGACTGGCGTAGCTTTGACTGAAGATACGACCTGTCTCGTGATAAAGAGAATAATGTCGGAATGGAATGTGAAAATTCTAGAATCGTTTTTATTTCATAAAAAGATTAATGCCATAAAAATAATTTATTTTAATAGAAAATTATTAAGTTGAAGTTATGTGAATATCAAGAAGAATTAAATTAAATAATTCAACTTTGTATGATTTGATTATAAAATCACATTAAATATCCAACTGCTCAATACTTTTGAATAGTTTTTAATATAACTTGTCGGAAGTTAACGGATTATACTTTTATGTGACATGAAATAGCATCCAGTCAAGAAATATCGAATACTTTTCTTTAATCGTGACTTCGCGGTATGTTCCTCTCTAATTAGCTAATTCTCCGCTAATCTTTGCTAATTAGCGCACGTTGCCGGTTTCGCCTCATTATTACAGAAGTCGAACGTGACGTCGGTATTAATTAACGCGCGCCTATTGTAAGTGTAATAAAGCCGACATGAGATATAATTCGACAGAATGCAGCCTTAATTATCTCGCTTGATGTGCTTTAAAGTACAAACACGAGTACGAGATCCGCGGCACCGGAGATACATGCCGCCGGATTCGACACGTTCCTTCGACGGCGTTCTTTTCGATATCGCGATATAAATCTCGATTCGAACGGGCGTGGAAGGCGGCCGCGCCGCTCATTTTTCGCGGTGAAAGCGCATGGAGATGGGGACCACCGCGCGAAACGATCAAATGTTGTTTCGACGGTGATTTAATGCAACAGCGTGCAGGTGTCCACCGGGGTAGGTATTCGCGCATTGCCAAAGGCCTCGGCAATGGGAATCGGATTTGAAGCGGCGCCTTGCATTTTGATGGGCCTCTGATCGCTCGTCCATTCTTTCTCTCTCTCTCTCTCTCTCTTCGTCTGATCGTCACTGTTGTCGCACAATGAGACACGTATCATTCTTATCCTGCCACATCTTGTCACGGAGCCGTTGTACTTAAGGCATCGCGCCGATTATAACAATTTGTTCGCGCCGTCGGGGGCAGGCCTGACCGGATTGCCAAATGAAACGCCGGTGCTTCTGCTTGCAAAGAGAATCGCTGCGCCTTGTCTTTCCGAGAACGCCTTTTGGCCGATGTTATCGGCACGATAACGTGCCGATGTGCGTTTTAGCGTTATTATTCGATATCGGGAGAAGTTTATAAATTTGCACTTATTCGGTGCACAATAATATTCCATATCGAAAATTCGAATAAATTTTCCACCACCAGAATTTAATTATATATTTATTAAATATTTTATTAAATATGATCATAATTAATTATAATATGATCAATTATAGGTCTCGGTATTAGTTCGGATATCACATTCAGGAAACCCCTGTTTCCTCTTTTGTCGTTGAAACAAATCCAAACGCGCCTCGTTAAAACGTGCAAATTGTTATCCGTTGTTTGTACCGTGGCTCAGTAATTATCGCGAAATTAATATTTATGAAGTATGTCGGTGCACACGGATCCTGATTAATTGTCGAATTAATTCGATAATTAATTGTGATATAACAAAACAATAATTATCGCGGGATTAATGTATGTTAAATATATATATCGTCCGGATGTGTTTGCCACACAGTTGTAATAGGACGAAAAAAAAAATGGAAGATTACAGTCGGATTATGCGAAGTGCGTCGAAGAGCGTGATTACGCCAGGCGAACTCTCCCCTTCGGCGCAAAGAGGAAAACGTTATTCTTTAATTACAGATGACAAATGGTTCGTTTCGGCGGTTATGCGGCCGGGGTAAAGCGCGGCGGATGGACGGGTCGTACGCACTCGTTATTTCGTACTTGGAGCATGGCGAAATGGGGGACACGCCGGGCCACGCAATAATGCTGGCCTGAAAAAGCTGAAAAAGAGGGCCAGAAGGGCAGCCATTACTTCCGACGCTTCGCGCCCAAACGATCGCCATTTGTCTCGTCGCAACCGGCGTTATGCAAAGAGCCGTCTGCCAGTCGATGACTGCCGCTCAATGTTGCCAGAGAAAGTTGCATATAAAAGTTACAATATAAACAGCGTTGCTCTTCGCGGCACGCGAACGTTTCCTGATTTCGATTATTGAAGCTTCTCTTCGTAAAGTAGAATGTTTAACACTGCGAATGATCCTTGATAGTAGTTTTCGTAGATTATTTGTGGACAAGTGGACTCAGAACTAGGCACAAGATTACGCGAAGCGATAAAATTGTGTTGTAATTTCGAGATTGCTTATTAAATATTGCGCGTATAAAATATTTCAAAAATTTTATTAAGCCTTTCCTGAATTTTACATGCCTCGGTTTATTTATATTTTATGAAAGTAATACGTATAGATGTTTTTCTTTAGGCATATGCCTCCTGTGGCAACAAGAGGCATGTGGATCGTGCGTATGTAAAAGAGGGTCGAGAGGTGAGCAGATGAAGGCGAAGACAATGTATGCCTTCGCCGCTGCTGGACAGAGATGTCACAGTGCGTTGGACGTGGATATCTCCTGCGGAGGTCTAATGTCTTTTTCGTACTATTGTCAATTACAATTTATTGTTCGCTAGGGTGACGCTGCCTTTTGATACGTTTTACATGTCAGAAATATCAACGAGGGTGCGCGACAAGTAAATGCGATACGATCAGCAAAATTTCGGATGTGTCATACAAAAATCTATTCTTTCCGTAACTTTATCAGTGATAAAATTCTGCAAAACTTTAGAACTCGGAATAAGCGAATTTAATCATATTTGGATTTATATTTTTTAAACTTTTTTCAAATAAAATATGGTATTTTTGATATCTGCTGGCCGTTTTATTAATAACATCAATTTATTTAAAAAAAAAACTGTATTGATCTTTCGATTGTTTTCAGGTCATAGCGTAAACTATTGTCTGGGTAGAGAAAGAACATTTACTCGAATAGCATTCTTTTGGTTTTCCTCCAGTAATCTCTCTCCCGCTGTTTCTTTCGTCGATCGTTAGCCGGTAGATATATATGTGTCTATAAAATGTGAAGGAAGCACAGAGTCAGTTGAGTTACATGGTGGACGATGGTCGATCCAACGGCCATTAGCTCGGGGTAAACAGAGCCATACTTTATTCGAGGGGCGTCACTCTTCTTTCAGCACGGTTCCGCTTCTTTGTGTGCGGCAAAACTCGTAATGTTTTCTGTCAGAAATACCCTTGAGGTCGAAGTGGCAATTGCGCTACTGCGCGTTTAAAGTATTATCATTTCCGGTTTCGCAATACGCCTCGTAGATACTTCCATTAAACGGTGCTGAACATCGCCTCGACATCTCCCAGCGATTGCGCCACCGATGCTTCACGATTTCTTAATTTATAGCGCGTGTCCGGGATGTAAACAGTTATATTCAGTAATACTGGACTATGTTTTTTTTTCTGCAATTTGCCGTTAATGATCCTCTCAGTATTAAAGAAATCCGTTGAATCATTGAACGACATTAGCAAGGAAGCTTAATGCGAATGTTGCGGCACGTGGCGGAAATCTACTGAGGAGAAAACTGCACGTGTAGCGTCAGAAATCCCCAAGTGGCCCAATTAACGCGCCGAACAAAAGTTCGTCTTGCTATTGTTCTTATTGACGAGGGTTGTTGCGACCCGAAACGTCTCTGATTCTTTGTCGGTTTTTTCCAGGGCTCCGGCTAAAAAATATATAGCGATTATTGACACTTTATTATAACGTTTTGTGCATAAAACGCGATATTTAATATTTATTACATTTATATAGTTTATGTACAAATACGTAAAACAAGTGTTGCATACGACAAAATATGACATATGTATATGAAAAATGTTAGGCAAATTTTGTAGCTATCGCGTTCCATATTTAATAATAAAATATATTTTTTTAATACGATAAAAATATTTTTTTAAAATAAAAACAATACATTTTCTAGTGTAAAAGTAAATCAGTTTGCTTGCTACTGTTTAATGCTGAAAGTATGACGGAACTATAGATGCGAAAATTATGCTAACAACGGAAGTTTCGCAGACAGGAGTCGCGCGATGGGGTCATTAACAATCGAAGACGAGACCGTCGATCGCAGGAACGACCTTGCCGATCGACTACATGCATCGCGCGTTCTTCCTTTCACGGAAACTTCTGGCACGCGATGCGGATAGCTTTACGACGTGCACAAAGTAACGCAGGTTAATTGTCGAAAGGTTAACGTACGAATAACGACGGCTCGATGAAGAAAACAACAATCGAGGCGCGAAGATTGTCGCACTGCAGACAATTAATTTCTATGCCACGAGTGCATCATATGTGTGTGCAATTCATTTTAATATTGCATATCAAATGTCATTTGCAGCGATTTGTATGCAGACACGTTACCAGTCAATACCGATACGCCTAGGTATTACTAGTTGCGTATTATTATGTTTGATAAAAAATTTTCTAAAACTTCTAACTAGCAATTATATTAAAGCAAGAACAAATAAATCTGCTAACACTCGAGGCGGTTTTTAAATTAAAAATCCTCCCTCTTCGTCGGCGTTAGAGCGTTCGAGTTTGCGATTTACATACCAACTCTGTCGCACAGTGTGTACGCGTCTCGCGGCCGAACGATCGGGACACCGGGGGTCCGTCAAAGCTTCCCCCGGAATAAGGTGGGCCGTGGGGAACGGGTCCTTTTAACTGACAATAAATTCCCGATTCCAGTCTCACAGCCACGACGTGTCTTTCCAGGTCCCTCTCTTTCGCGACGGGGAAATACAAAAAGGCGATTCCGCGGACCGGCGAACGAGTTCTCCTTCTCGTTGTATCTGGGGAACCTGAAGAAACTCTACGGAAAAAGGAACACGAACGCAGGGGGGGAGGAAGGGCGAAAAAGCGTCGGGCGAATAAGCGGTAGAAGAAAAGGAAGAAAAGGAAGACGAAGTGGAAGAAGTGGAGGGAAGAAGAGGACGCGGGAGCGAAGAAGACGCGCGCGGGAGGCGGACGGAGGGGAGGGAAGCATGGTCGGACGTTCGTTAAATATACGAGTGTATTGAAATTCCGCCTCGAGACGGAGCGCGATGGGACCCGCTCGTTGTGGAAGGACAAGATCGCATGACGGCTCGAGGGCTTGGGAGCCACCCCGCTGTTTTGAATACGATCCTTCGTCCGTAAGTCCTCCACCTTGGTGTTGCCGCGGTGTGTATAAGCGAGCCGCCCGTATATACGGATACCAAGCAGGACGCCAAGCAGGAGGATCGTCCTGGCTCGAAGACGACAACGACCCGACGCGACTCTCAGGTACGCATACCGTCGTCCACTCTAATTTGAATGTAACAACGTTCCGTTCGGCTGCAACCCGATACCATCTCTGAACTTCCCGGCCACGAAGAAGTCCCCTAGTCGTCCCTTTCTCCTACCGCCGTCCTCACACCGTTTCTTTCGTCCTGCCTCCCCCCCCCCCCCGCTCGCACTGATGATGATGCGCGAAAAACACCATTCTAATTTATCCAGTGATGACGAAAAAATATATATATAAGCATTTTTGTGCATTTTTTTATTCTAATACGCGTATTCTTTTGTATTACGCGACGTAAGATGATATGCTTAATGAAACGCATAAATCCATCCCGCTGAATGGATCCGAGCGCGTCGATGGCAGTTGACGCATTTTCAGCAGGCTTTCACGGTTGACTTTCGTCCCGGTTTTCGAGCTCCCGCTTGATTTCCCCGCGCGTGCGAATAACGCGGCGAGCCTCGAATAAATCTTGATCCATTTGTCCATCCATGTCGCGCCGTCCAGTCAATTTCCCCGCGATAGCGCGGAAAGATGGCGGCCTCGCGTAGGCGGCGATGCGCGCTGTTTACACGTTCGGCCGCGATGGTGTTTGGTTATATTACATGCAGAGTACGCGATGACGGGTACGTGTCTCCGGGATGATTGACGGACGATACACGTCGTCCGTCGCATCGCAATGCAGGACATCGCCCGGCTTCCCGGTAGCCGGCATGACGCGAATCCGCAAGTTCTAACTTGCCTCTCTCTTGCGTCGCTCTTTCTCTCTTCGTTGGACGGCACGAGAGGCGCCGAAAGAGTTTCCGAGGGCGAGGGGGGGAGATCGGGAATCTTCCGTAATTGCGAATGCAGTCGTCGGTTCGGCTCGCATAGAGGCAAGGACGATCTCTTATCTGCCGATAGCCTCCGCCGTTCCAAGAATCTCGGGAGCATCGCGCCAAATTACTATAAATAGATGCTAATCGATGCGGCGGGGGGAAAACGGCCGGACGCGGGCCGAATATCCGCGACGCGGCCATGCGTTCTGCGTGCGGCAGGATGCGGGAGCATCCGGATGGGTGTCGCGAACCGCACCGCGCGATTTTGGCGCGGTCGCGCCATGGTTGCGGCCTGACCACTCGGTCGTTTGCATCGCGGTTGTCCGCGTCGCAATATATACACGCGGAACGGTGAATACACAGGTGGGAAAACAGCCCGGATACGCGGATACGCGGAAAAGTCTTGTCGAGAGATCTTTCGATGACGTTTGAATTTCAATCTATATCAAGCTGGTTTTAGCAAAGAGAAACTAAAAGAATCGTCACGCTGCGCCGGGGAAAGATGCGAGTATTTGCGTATCGCCGATAAAAATCCGCGAATCGGCGAGTCGGACCGTATTGGAAATAACAGGTGACAGGTTCTTTTCTACCGTTCGAGGCAACGTCGACGTCTACCGTTAATTAGCCGCTGACAAGAGGACGCCTCGTATCTGGGATTCGTTTTTGTGCGGTATAAAGTAAGCTACGTATGTACGTCAAGCGGCACGGCTAGACAGGGGGAGGAAGTCAGTCGATTGCCAAATGGAAAATATGTAATCCGCCCGCCTGCCGACGGTCCTGCGGACAGCCGAGGACAGGCTTCAGAAAATGAATTTCCCGGCGCAGCGCAATGCCGTGTGTAACATCAAAAGAGACCCCGGGGCGCGCCCGGCAACGTGTACACATCTATATATTATACATGTGTCGCCGTATTTGCTGCAGTGTCGATGAACGCGGACGTGGAGGATCGTTCTTTGACTCGGCGATAATTATCACGTCCGTTCCGCGATTCTTTGCGGTGACGACGCGCAAGCCGGGGTCGGCGGCGCAGGCAGCTAAATTAAAATCGGTATTGCTTCTGGACACGAACTTACGGTGGGAATGGACGCGATATCTCGTATACCGGGCACCGTATATCGTCGATACCTGGCACTCTTCGCCCTTTGTGTCTCAACGTACGCATTTCCGATCAAACAGATTTATCGACGCGACGTTCAGCGACGTTCGCTACTTTCGCGGCACGAAACAAGAGGTATTCTCGTGTACAGTCGCGTCTCTAAACGAGAGTTTAATTGCTTTGAGATGTCTGGATTCGGTTCGACAACCGGTAGCGACAACGCGCGTAATGAAATATTCGCCATGATGCGCTTTTACGATTCTCGTCAATTCGCAAGAGGTAGGAAAATTTGCACAAAGATATAGCGGCTAATGTGATTATGCCAAGTATGATTGGCGCTTTATAAGTAAATTTGTACGACAGTTTGCAGTCGATAAAATTGATTTTACGAGACATTATGTTTTGTCGACCCGAGTCATTATACTTTCATTTCTCCCGCGACATAATAAGTCCATTTTCGAGCAGATTAATTTAATTTGAAACTTTAATCAAGGTGTCTGAGACGTCCAGACGATATAATTGACACACATGTAATTCGAGCATTACTTTAAAATTTATTACCGATGAGTAACTTATGGCGTTTTGCCGGCAGACCCTTCAACTCTAGTAAGACGCAAGATACCTGTCCACCTGCACGTTCCCTTTTTCTTTCTCCTCCTTTCTCTCTCTTTCTCTCTCTGGGCGGTTATCCCGGACATATCTCCTTTTCTGGACCTCCCCTCGCGTCTCGCCCCCACGCCGACACACGAAATCTCTTGGATCGTCGTATATTAATTGTCGATACCTATCTGACCGCGAAGCTCTTTTATTAGCGCGTCTCTATCGAGCGCGGCGCTGACGCGGCAATCCGTCCAAATGTGAGAATATTATTAACCACATATTTTAGTCAGCTTAGAGGGAGGCTGATGCGTCGATCACGGTGACTTTTGACAAATAAGCTGACGCGCAGGAGGGTAGTCGGTGTCCGAAGGCGGTGACGAGCGATCACTCTTCGCTTTCTCGGGAGGAATCCGTTAGTTCTCAAGTGTATCTTGATGCAAAAGTATGTCCCACTGTCGAATTTCTTTTCTAAACTTACAATTATTCTTCAGGCATATGCTTTAATGTACTAATATTTATCATTGCATAATATTTAAATTATATTCAAAAATTGGAAATTAATCATTGGAAAGAAATGTCGAATATATTTTATTTTCTTTACTTTTATGCGAAGATCTGAAGGAGTTTGAACGTTTGAATAATAAGAAATAACTTGTACAATGAAAAAGAAGCTGGCTCATGATTCGAGAGATACGTTGTCTCTGCTATAGATAGGTCAAAATAATTCGATACACCGTTAGAGAAATCCTGTATGGCAGCGACAAGATTTCAGATTAGATGAATCACCTTCGACCAAAAGGATGGTGTCTCATAAGGATACGGTTACCTGTGGATCTGAGGGCCACAAAATTTATGCGGTCCCCATTATCGAATCGATGTTCCACAAAGAATTTTGTATCTCTACGCCACGATCGCCGGAATTTCTCTTGTACGTACGAGAGTCGGGCCATTGCCCGAAACATTTTTCGTACTCGTGGAAAAATTATCATGTATCGTCATCGATACATCTTCACGAAAGGAATACTTATTATTTCGTCATTTTAAATCTTTTGTTCGCATTTCTTTTTCTCACGCATTAGGAGTGTGTCTTCCACACGGAACCGGAGAAGCGATTCGAGTGCAGCCAACGCAGAAGTGTAAATTTGGCGCTTACGAACCGTAATGTTTCCAAGGCGTAGCGTGGTGCGACGCAAACGGTTTTCGGAATTTCACCGAAGTACGTAAGGGCGCGGCTATTGCCGAACATTTATTTGCCAGTCGAACGTAAATTTGTTTAGGGGTGGACACCTAAAGCACGAGTGGCGGCGGCTGTTCACCGTCACGGAACATTTGCCGCGAAAAATGCTTTCACCGCGGCCACGCGTCTTCGACTTCTTTCTTCCGGGCTGTCTTGGAATTTCGGAGGTGGAATACGGCAAGAAGAGAGAAGCCACCGCGTGCTCTCTATCGGTGGCTCCGTGCGCTATTGCGAGACAGCGTTGACGATTTGTCAGACTGTCGCTCGTATTAATCACGAAAATATTTTGCACGGGCTTCATAACTGCTTTACATTCATTGCGCGTTGAAAACGCGCGCAGATTAGCGGCGTAGCCTGGCTGGAGCAATTTTTTACGATCTCGCGTCGCGCGTTAGCGGCATGTTCGTTCAATTATCTTGCGTTATTTTTAACTGAACGAGCGTTAAGCGAAAAAATTGAAAGTTAAACACTCATAATTAACCGCGTTCCATCCGCGATACTTTTAACAATTTTTTTTTTAAACCGTCATGTCGAGCGATGAATCACTATTATCGCGCAGCACGGTAAATAAAGGCGCGATAGCCGGAATGCACGTCGTTCGTCTCGGCCCGCTTCGGTGATCCCCGAAGATTAGTGGGCCGCAGGATTCGCTCTCGGAAGACCGGTCGGTCGGTCTTAAAAAGTTCAACCGTAACAACGTAAGTCGCGCGTTAGAGCCCGATACGGCTGCGAAACGGCTCGTCCTGGTGGCAGTCTTATCAATCAGAAAGTCGTAAGGACGCCGCGTCACGGATTACGATATAATAAAATGAACCATCGTCCTTTCTCGATACGGCGACACGCTCGCATTTATACGCGGCTCTTTCCCGCGCGCGTGCACGCGCGGTTCGCCGCCGCTCGAGGCTCGTCTCGCACGAGAGAACGAAAGAGGAGCATCGTAAAACTCGGCCATCCGGGCGACATAAGTCGGCGGTGTAATGCGACGCGTAAACGCGAGACACGAGCGGGCCGAGGAAACGTCCTGGCCAGGGAAAGAAGATCTCAGTCCGGCCGGGGGACTTTTCGGCGCGCGGAGAGCCGCCCTCGCTCTCTTCCGCAATGTTGTGCGGAACATCACCGGCTTTTACGAGCGCATCATCCGGATTTATACTTACTTAAAGAATCACTACGCGACGGTTCCAACCATGGGTTATAGGTCCTTATATACGGCGGCTGTGCGGGAAAAAGCCAGAATCTTTTATTTGTTGCCACCTA